AACAGTTTTCATCATTTGTAATTATTTTCGATCCATCTTGACGAGGGAACATCAAGTCAAAGCAAATCTTGAATTTGAATTTGCAAATCTTAATTGAAAATTTCTAATCGTTGTACGAGTTTGAAATTGAGGAAGATTTGGCACTACTTTTAACCATTTGCCATTACTTCTCTGATATTTACAGTTATTTGACTATTTTACTTCTATGATTCGCTGCTATTATTGGCTACTACATTATAACTTAAATAAATATCATATATGATTGGGATTTCAAAATTTTTCATTTGAATTTTTTACAATGTATCGTTCATCACCCAAATAAAGACCTAGTTTTACGCCAGAATAATCTGAAACAGTACATTGGATTAAGAAGGGTAATTCACGTGAAACAGAAGTTTATGGCAAAGTCTTGAAGAAGCCTTTTTCCAGGGATAGATCGAGAATGAGTGGTGATGGCGGCAATGATCACAGGTCACTTAAAATTCTCTGAGAACTATATCTGAATGTCAATTCTGTAAAAGACAAGGTTATCATATCTAATCTCATGCAGATAAATGTTGACAAAACGTCAAAAACGGATTTCAGTAAATATGTCCAGGGTTTGATGGATCAGAAACTGTATTCGAGGCACACTGTTGCAATCCAAGCACATTTATCGTTGCATAATTTAAATTCATGAACGCAGCCTTCATGTTGAACACTAACCTTCCTATGTTTTTTTGTTAAAATTCACATTTAAACCCCCTTCGCTTCAGTTGACCCATTCGTATGCTGTATTTCTACCATTTCCATACTCATAACTCCTATTCTGGCATGGTTGTTTGGTTGCTTTTCTGTGAATTGTATCTGTGGAATTCAGTTAAAATTTCATCGAATCGATAATGAACATTATATTTATATTAAGTCTGAATAATCAAGTCAATCGTATACTGATGCATATTTGTGTGCTCGAAGAACGTATTTATAACATACAGTCCCTTTATACAGACAGCCATTGCAATGATTGCAACGGTTTGCACTGTGCCTTGGTCGTTATCTAGTAAGGACGTAATACTCTCTCCGATTTAGGCGCGTAGACTTGTAACAAGGCTAAAGCTTTTGTCAGGTAACAGTTTAGTTAAAAAACGATCATTCCTCTAGTGGTAGATCTTTCCGCCCGTAAAAATGCAGAATTCTGCAACCCCGACGTTTCATTTACGAGTGTTCCAAACATAACCAGATGATACAGTGACCTCATCAGTTACGTTTTGACTGAGTTCCCACTGTCATCGTTCTTGTCACAAAAGCGTCACGCTTCTGCCTCCTCCGTTCAGAACGAGTTATTCCTCCATACTCTGTGCGTTCTTTCATAGTAACCAGAACGACAGAGCAAATAAAGACAAGTAAACAACAACGCGTCCATTTTAACCGTCGAGCAAGAACCTGCAGCAAAACGCTGTGCTTTAAGACTACAGCAAAATAACTTCAGAATTTCTCGTTCGTGGACATTCGAACAACAGTATCCAAGTGCTGTACCTCTAAGCTCTTAGACAACAATAAGTTAAAATAAAACACTGCGCGTGTAGGAAAAATAAAACTTCTTTAAAACAATGTCGCATTAACATGATAGTCGCATATAAACATACATATGTACTCAACGAACTGTAACTTATAAATAATGTACAAACACAACTTGATGTCACAAGTCAAAAGTTCAAGAATGATTCGACCGTGTACTATCACAGCGAGAATAACACTTAATGTTAAGTTTTTTTTTAAAAGTCATCAAAATGTGGCTACAAAACCTTGATTCATCTTTTCTAACATTACACGTAATAATAATGTAAATTTTTTTGGCAATTTTCATCACATGAGCTTAACCGATTAAAGTAGGACACAGGAAAACTGGAGGTATTGAATGAGGGAGCCCCCTTTGATCTCGGTAGGGTCACTGCGGGTTCGTGGCCGGTGTTGCGACTGAGTTGGATCGGACACGTTGTAGTGGTGTTTGGTTTAACTTCCGAGGAGGTTGAACATCCGCGACTAATGTTCCTTAATCCTGACAAATCCAATGTAGGAGTTGGAGGTGGTGGTAAAAACCTCTTCGAATACAGGTCCAGGTTTGGGGGAGACCGCATTGCAATGTCCATCATATTTATGTCTTCAGCGGCGATCGAATTTTGTGCGGAGCGAATAATATCAGGAGGTGACGAGTTGCGCAACGCCCGATTCAAGCGAGCATTTTCCGCCAGCTCAGAAACGTCTCGAAACTTCGTATTTGGTTCCAGGCTCTCCTGTTTGCCGAATGACAGACAAATGCGAGTACAGAAATAGTCAGAGTACTTCTTAAGTACATTGTCCCTCCCATTCGAAAGTGGGTGTGGCGATGAAGGCGATGTTTCAAGTAGAGATGTCTTGTCAACGGCATCGTTTAGTACAGATGGACTGTTGTCAACAAGCATTTGTTCACTACTGTGCAAGGCGGACGGCGACTGAATCGGAAAATCGTAGAGCGGCTCTTTTTCGGGACTGTTTTCTGTGCTGGTCAAGTTCTCATAGACACTGTCGACGACTGCTCCAACTTTGCCTTCAAGATTTCTGGTGCGACCATAACCATAAAGATAGTCAAAAATGGCAGACGCTTCGGAAAACGAGTTGTACCGTTTTGTTTCTTCCCGTTCCAGCGGTATGTCTTCCATTGAGCACAGGAGATTTTCAACTTCCGGGTCAAGTCTACCTGCAGGGACAACGTCAGCTCTGACCTTGGCATCGTCTGTATTTGATGACGACACTTGTACAGAAACGACGTTTTTAGTCGATAGGCACAAACCGCTGCTGTCCAAATTTACTTCCGTTGACAATGAGCCGTCTGGCACGCGTTTTTTCAACGTGTCGCCTAAATCACACATCACTAAACTTTCTCTGGCAGAAGAGGACATAACTGATGTCGGTTGTTCATTACTGGCTCCATTAGGTGCATCAACGGCTATCTTCAAAACCAGTTTTTGACCTTTTTGTGACGAAGTGCAGCTGGTAGACAATGAGGTGACGTCGACGTCGCTTGTAGTGGCGTGAACCTGACATCGTCGTCCAGCGGGCCCCACTCTTTTTGTGAAAGAAAAACCGCTGTTATCTTCTTCTGACCTTTGCATCTCGAAAACATTGGTAGGCGACGTTGGGCTTGCGAAGTCACTGAAAGTCGAAAAACTTTGGTCACTGATTGTCACATCCGTTTCCGGGTGCATTCTGGAATGCTGCTGAAGAGGGCTGCCAATGTGCATTTTAGTGACAGATGAATCAACACTCGGAGATGCGTCCGAACACGCTATCGTCGCTTCCTGAGTGACGAAAAGTTTGGGGCGCAAACTGCTGACCACATCATGTCGAACTTGTGGTTCGCGGACGTCTGAGCTGCCGATGAGTCGTGTTTTCTCGCATGAATTATAGTAACTAACTGACGGTCCGTTGTGATGGTTCAGTGAGACTAAACATAAAGATGAATAATTGTACTAAACAGGGGACACATAACATGAAAGCAATATAAATAATTCAGAAACTCATAACCGGTCATTTTACACATCGGTGCTAATAAACAGTGTTCTTGATTTCCAAAAGTTTTCCTGGCAAATATTTGATTTTCAGGTATGCACTAGCGTTTAACATGCTAACCTAATGCGAGACTGCCATTAGTACGTTAAAACAGTTAACTAATTAATTTCAATACAAGTTTAATAATTCAGTACCTGACGCTGAGGAAAGTTGTTAAATAAGGACTAACATAATTAGTCATTTCTATGTAAACAGTGTGTTATGAGGAACCTTATAAGGTAGTTTAGTTCACTGCCTATTTAACATTTATTGCATAAATATATTCGTGGATATATTATATTATACATTATATTACATTACTATTTGCATTCATCGTATCGGTCATGTGACTTCCGAAACATCATAAAAATATATACGGAAATTACTGGCAACGTATTCCTCTAATAATCTCTAACATACATCACTAGAAAGACTGTCATAAGACGTGCAAATGTGATTGGATAAACAAACTTCTATTACACATTCCACGAATAGACTACAAGT